CAGAGTTTCCTTTGAATGACTTTGCCGCTGGGCCCTGCAAATTGACCTCTAGCAAATAGAGAATGTTTATCTATAAAAGATAATAAAACCTGCCAATGGCGATCATTAATTTTAAGACAATTTTTTTCAGCGATTTTTCTGTTCAAAGTTCAAAATACTACAAAACGTCAAAACAAAATAAAGAATCAAACGAATTTTGGCCCCCAAAAATCCAACATAACTTAACTTTATTGGACTCGATTTTGTTTCGATAGCTTTTCGACAGACATCAACCAGTCGAGTGACTTTCGTCGAAATGCATTCGCATGGAGTGCGTTCGAAATCAAAATTTTGGTGTAACATGGCGGTTTCGGTTCGAATCGAGAGTTCGTAATCCGCCCCCTGGATTACATATTTCGTTTGTCAAAGAGTGATGAGGGGAATTCCCCAGGCACAATAATAGCAGCTTTTATTAGTAATGTCAAGCGGAATGAAATATTTATGGAAAAAAAACTTCTGAAAGACACGCCTGTGTCAATTTTTGAAGATTTGACTCAAAAACGATTTAAGTTACTATGCGAAGCTAAGGAAATGTATGGTAAGAATAATGTCTGGTCATCCTCGGGGAAAATTTATTACTGGGATGCTAAAGCGAAGAAAAAGCAATGTCTATAAATAACGTTAAAGTGATGGTGTTCAACAATAATTCTCTATTTCTGTTGGAATGCTGCTGTACAATGATAGTTTTTACCTTCATCGTTTGTAGTCGTCATTGATTCTTTTTATTTCTTTTTTGCCCGAATAGTTGGTTACTGTTATTATTATAAATAGAAAAATGCAATTTTCATTTTATGGTTCTAATGCTTTTAGGACTTCTATTGTACCTACTACCGGAATTTTTATTTAGGCTAAATTTATAGGTAGGATTATAATAATTACTATTTTCAATTTACCTCTTTTTATTATTATTATTTTTTTCAATTCATCACACATTTATCATAACTTCAAAAATTTTATGGGGTGGAACACATATTATGTGCATGCTCACTAGAGAGGTATATGGCAAGTATGGATGCTAGCTTTAAATTCGCCCATTTCAATATACGCTCGATTTGTTCTCAGTTTGATGCATTTTGCGAATTTGTTACGGAGGAGGGATTTGACGTCATTGGTCTGTCAGAGACTTGGCTACATGACGGTATACTTAGTAGAGGATTAAAAATAGCAAACTATAACTTGATTAGGAAAGATAGGGATGGGCGAGGTGGTGGTGTCGCAATGTATATCAGATGCTCTTTGAAATTTTAGGTTCTGGAGGTGGCACATCGGATTGGTTCAATTGAACAGCTCTGGATTAGAGTTAGAGTGAACGGAAAGTCAATTTGCTTTCGGTCACTCTATCGATCTCCTGATTTGACTGAACAGTTGTCTGGAGGACTTGGAGGATGTTTTGGCTGATGTTCTGCCTACTGCTGATTATATATTGTTCGGAGGGGATTTCAATGTTAATATGTCATTGGCAAGTAATCCTGGGACCAAACTTCTAAATGGATTAGGTATTCCGTAAATAACTTAACTCAATTAGTCAAACAGCCTACTCGGATTACTCCAAATTCTGAAACGCTTATTGATTTACTGATAACGTCGGATTCTCGGTTATGTGGGGATGTCCAGGTGCTTGATATGCAAGATGTCTCAGAGCATTGTCTGGTTTGCGCGCAGTTAAAGCTAACAAAGACTCGAATTCCTATTTCATATCGCTCGTATAGGGACAATTCCAAATTTGTTTTCGCCGATTTTGTTAATGATTTATTCAACATTGATTGGCATATTTTCTTGTCTATGGGCGATGTTAACGATCTTGTTCATTTATTCAATAGGGAGGTTACAGGAGTGTTTGACTTCCATGCTCCTTGGAGGACGTCAAGATTCACAAAGGCTCCAGCACCATGGCTGACTGACAATGTTAAATTGATGATGAGCTTGCGTAAGAAATCTTTGACTAAATATAAAAGGCTTAAAACTGAGGCTGCATTAGTTGAATATAAACAATTGAGAAATTTTGTATCAACAGCGATACGTAATGAAAAAAAGGCATATCTTGATTACAAGTTTAGAATGGATCCTAGTGGCTTTTGAAAAACCCTGAAAAGACTAAATATTTGTAATCGGGCCGACACAGACTCCAAGCTGAGTGGTGACAAGTGTTCACTAGTCAATAACTTTTTTATTGACAATGTCCCTACCATTTCTGGTGATTCTAATAATTTTATAAATAATGAGTACAAAGATAAGCGACATAATGTTGTCAAAATTTTTAAGTTTATCGAGGTGTCTGATGAATGCATAGAAGAGATTATTTCTGGAATAAAAAGTTCCGCTATGGGTTGTGACGGTATTGACCTCAGGATGCTTTCTTTGATTACCCCCTACCTCACACCGTTTATAACAATTATAATAAACCAATCACTTAAATCCAGCATATTTCCGACAATATGGAAAAGAGCTGATATCATTCCTATACCGAAAAATAGCATGCCTACAGAGATGTCGCATTATAGACCAGTCAGTATACTTCCTACTATTTCAAAAATCCTTGAACGAGTGATGCTCAAGCAGCTCAACTTATATATTGGTTCTATTTCATTATTGCCTATGACTCAATCAGGATTCCGTGCCAAACATAGCACCTCAACAGCTCTCTTACATGTATGTGATGACATTGGACCAAAAGAAAGTATCTGCCCTTTTTCTCTTGGACTATAGTAAGGCATTTGATACCCTGGATCATTCAATTCTTTGCACTAAGTTAAAATATTTTGGATTGGGTGGGTCTGCTCTATGCTTAGTGGAGGACTATTTAACAGAAAGGAGCCAGAGGGATCGCATTGGCGCTGAGGTTTCTGGTTACAGAAGCGTCGCCAGGGGAGTTCCGCAAGGTTCTATTTTGGGACCACTACCTGTGACTTCCAGAAGCATTTGAGATCTTGCCGTTCACACCAATATGCGGACGACACGCAAATTTATCACTCTTTCCATCATTCGGACACTCTGCAGGCAGCTATGGATATTAATGCTGATTTGGCAGTTATTTCTGAACTGTCAAGTTCTCACAAACTTGTGCTGAATGGATCAAAAACTAAGTTGATGATCTTTGGGCATGCCCAATTGGATAACTTTGTGATTAGGCTCGGTGGGAGGCGTTGGAGTCCTCTGGTTGTGAACGAAATTTGGGCATTCTCTTGGATAGTCAACTTAGATTTGAGGCACATATATCCAACTTGTTACAGGGAGCTTACTACAAACTCGAAGTGTTATATATGCATAAAGATATCCTCACTGCGAGGGTTAAATTAAAGTTGTGTGATTCTTTGGTATTGTCACGTCTTTCGTTTTCTGATGTTTTGTACTGGCCAGCTGCTCTTCAAAGGGAAAGGAATAGTCTGCAAGGGCTTCAAAACTCTTGTTTGAAATTTTGTTACGGTGCAAGGAAGTATGACCATGTCACGCCTCTGTTTGGAATTTCTGGATGGCTGAAGCTCCATGAAAGATACTTGGTTCATTTATCTACACTTGTTCATAAGATTGTTCATGATGGCTCACCCAAGTATTTGGCTGATAAGCTGGTTCTCAGTGCTGCTATTCACGGAAGGCAAATGCGTAATTCTCATGATCTCTGCGTGCCAAGGCACAGAACTACTAAATTCCAGGGTTCTTTCAGTTACAATGCGGTAAAGGGGCTCAGTAGACCTGGCCCCCCCCAGTGGATAATTTTTATCCAAAACGCTAGCCCTCGTTCTCCAGAGCTAGCGCAACCTAGCGCAACTTTTTCGAAAGCTAGCGCAGCTACAGGTCAAAAGATATGTGGCTTTATATTCGGGGGGGGGGGGGGCTAGGGTGACGCTAGCCCCCCCCCAGTTATTCGATCTCTTCTCAAAAATGCTGGCGCACATTCGTAACACCTAGCGCAAGTTGTGTCATAGCTAGCGCAGCTATCGTAGCTGTCATACAGGGTGGACAAAAAAAATCATGATCCCCTACAAGTGATTTTTAATTTTTCAAAAATATATATGAAGCTTCCTTAAAGCTAGCGCCGGCTAGCGCAGGTAAAATTCGAGCAACCGCATTACCCCTTTAAAACATATACAGGTATTTATTCGGGGGGGGGGGGGGGGGGGGGGGGGGGGGCTAGATCAACGCTAGCCCCCCCCAGTTGTTAAATCCTTTTCAAAAGGCTAGCGCAAGTTCGTGACACCTAGCGCAAGTTGTGTCATAGCTAGCGCAGCTATCGTAGCTGTCATACAGGGTGGACAAAACAAATCATGAGCCCCTACAAGTGATTTTAAATTTTTCAAAAATATATATGAAGCTTCCTTAAAGCTAGCGCAGGTAAAATTCGAGCAACCGCATTACCCCTTTAAAACATATATGTTTTAAAGGGGTATATACCTGTATGTGTGTATACACACATACAGGTATTTATTCGGGAGGCGGCTAGAGTGCCGCTAGCCCCCTCCCCCCCCCCTACCCCCCAGTTGCTTATAGCGGAAGTTCGTAACACTTAGCGTAAGTTGTTATGGTAACTGTTATACAGGGTGAACTGAATCATCAGCGCCTACATGTTACATTTAGTTTTTACAAATTGTATCCAAAGCTTGCTTAAAGTATCATTCACATAGGGCAACGTAGTGGTAAGGTAGAAGTGAACTATGAATTAAGAATACTTGACGCGTGCATTTCATACGCTCTGTTCACATAGAATTAAACTTGCTTTAAGGGGGTAATAGCGAAGTAGTGGTAAGGTAAAAGATACCAAGCTCCAAGCTTTTTGGGGCAAGCGTGTGGGAGAATTCTTACCTAGCCAATCATATTCGATTTTCGGACAGTCGACTTCTATCATTCTGTTCTGTTGCAGTGAGGTTATGTTCAATGTTTATTTGCATTTGCAAAAATTGGAAGTTTGTCCTGTCCTACAAATGTATTTTTTGGAATTATTTATATGAATTTTAAAAAAATCAATTATGGAACGCTTAGACCATAAATTGGCCGAGTTGTTGCCGAATTACCCAGCAATTTGGAAGAGGGGCTGCAACGATTTTAAGAATAAAGTCAAAAAAGAAAATAGCTTCAAAGCTATTGCTAAGGAACTAAAAACCACCGGTAGGTTTTGTTGTGAAACGAACCTCACCTCAAAAAACACATATAGCATCACATAAAAAGTGATTTTCACTTTCAGTCGAAGTTGTGATTGGCAGATATAAATACTTACGTGAGAGATTTCGAAAGGAGAATGAAAAAATCGAAAAAGAAACAAGGAGTGGAGCTGGCTTGTCTGAAGAAATAGTGTGGCCACTATATGAATCATTAAGGTTTTTGTCCAGCGTTATCTTAAAAAGAAAGTGAGTCTTATCTCTTTGGCCAATTATAAAGATAACTCATTTCTTTTTATGAATTTCAGAACGAAAACAAACTTAGCATTGCCCACCGATACCCTGAATGAAGACCTTAGTGAATTTCAGTTTGAAACATTAATGGAACTGAACGATGACAATAGCAAGATGTCAATAATTATGGATACTGAAAAGGATGAAGAAATCAATGAAATAATTTATATAGTGGAAGAAAAAACTGATAAAGAATGTGTTTCCGAAAATATTGAATCCACCAAATTGCCTCAAATAAAGAAATTGGAAAAAAGTGCTTCCAAAAGACATGCATCAGAAACTGTGACATCCACAAAATTGCCCCGAACACCACTAAGTGCAAAGTCATCTAATTTTTGTACCCCCATGACTCCATCAGGGAATCTTCCAAAATCTTCTCGACAAATTGAACCACTGATTAATAAGTTGGTACAAGCAGCAGACAAAGTGTCAGATATGCCAGTGGCTACACCATTTTCCAATACTTCCAGGTTGTCTGATTTTGCCAACTATTTGGCTGCAAGCCTAAATATGCTCGATGAAGAGCTGTGTGATGATGCCATGGCTGAGATGGTTGTCATAATAAACTCCTACAAAAAAAAAACAACGTCTTAGAAATTCATAAATTTACTTATTAAGTACCATCATTTTTCTTCTGTATTTTTTGAAATTAAAAGTTGGATATTAATTTAAATCTCTTTTTATTTTTCCACATTAAGTTACATCAAACTTCTAGGTGTGGTGAAAGAGATCCCTACAATCTCAAATAGGAAGGGAGGTTGAGTTATACCTCTTTGGTTGAATGTCTTGTCCTACATTCAAAAATGTAAATTTTAAAAATTGAATGAATGGGTGCAGCTTAGAGAGCTGAATATATTTTGATTAAAAATACTAACTGTTCCCTTAAAAAATAAAGTTGATGCATTTTTATTTTATTTTTTTCAAATTGACACCCTTGTACCTACTAAGGTTAGTGAAGGGTATAAGAAACAAAATTGCATATAAGTTTTTTTAAGTAAATTTTAATACTTATATATTTCCACAATTTTTTTTTTTTTTTTTTTTGTTAAACTTTTAACATGTTTCGCTAAACTTTAGCTTCATCACAAAGATTTTAGAAAAATAAAATGTAGACATAAAAGTGAAATTGACAAATATAAAAAAGGTAAAAGCTGGTCTAATTTTATGTTAATTTAAATAGGTATTACACAGTAAATAAATTTAAAAGTGGTGAATTGTTTAAATCTAATTGGTCGTTCAATAAACAGTCTAAAGTTTTAAGTTTGTTTATTTCTAAAGATTCTAGAAGATTTAATTTTATCCCTTTGTTTTCATTATATTGTATTGTTAGTTTTGAAAGCAACATTTATATCGTTTTTGTTAAGAAATTTGCTAATTTTCTTACTAGCTTGTCCTTGGAAAGTAATACTTTTGAAATTATTATTATTTTGTAATTTTTTAGGGTATACTAAATTAATGGCATTTTTGTATAGTTTTTTGTTTAAAATATCATCTATTAATTTAGAAAAATAGCCATTATTGATAGCAATTTGTTTAATTAGGTTTAATTCTTTTTGGAAATTAATACTATTTATAGGAAGTGTTATTAATCGGTGTATCATACTGTTAAAAGCAGCTAATTTGTGTTGGATAGGATGACAAGATGTATTGTGTATAACTGTATCAGTATGAGTAGGTTTATGAAATATGGAAAATTCATGTTTTTCATTTATGTTTTTGATTGTTAGATCTAGGAAATTTATTGAATTATTTAGTTCTTTTTCTATGGTAAATTTTACGTTAGGGTGGATTTTATTAATAAAGTCTATAAAAATATCTAATTGTCTGTCTGTTCCAGTAAAACAAGTTAGAATATCGTCAACATATCTATGCCAGTAGAGGAATTTTTTAAAAATTGGATGTTTGTTAATTTTTGATTCAATAAAATCCATGAATATTTCAGATAAAATAGGACTTAGTGGATTTCCCATTATAAGTCCAATTTTGCTAGTATATATTTTATTATCAAATTCAAAATAATTTTGTCTGAGGCATTCTTTCAAAACGATAATAATTTCTTCTTTTTTAACAATGTTTATATTATTTTTAATCAAGAGTTTTTCAACAAGAATAATAACGTCTTCAATAGGTATACTTGGAAAAAGATTGGTAACATCAAATGAAATAAATTTAGAGTTTTTTGGTAATGTAATATGTTTAATTTTGTCTACTAATTCATAAGTGTTTTTTATAGAGTATTTAGCAGAAAATATTCATGGATTTTATTGAATCAAAAATTAACAAACATCCAATTTTTAAAAAATTCCTCTACTGGCATAGATATGTTGACGATATTCTAACTTGTTTTACTGGAACAGACAGACAATTAGATATTTTTATAGACTTTATTAATAAAATCCACCCTAACATAAAATTTACCATAGAAAAAGAACTAAATAATTCAATAAATTTCCTAGATCTAACAATCAAAAACATAAATGAAAAACATGAATTTTCCATATTTCATAAACCTACTCATACTGATACAGTTATACACAATACATCTTGTCATCCTATCCAACACAAATTAGCTGCTTTTAACAGTATGATACACCGATTAATAACACTTCCTATAAATAGTATTAATTTCCAAAAAGAATTAAACCTAATTAAACAAATTGCTATCAATAATGGCTATTCTTCTAAATTAATAGATGATATTTTAAACAAAAAACTATACAAAAATGCCATTAATTTAGTATACCCTAAAAAATTACAAAATAATAATAATTTCAAAAGTATTACTTTCCAAGGACAAGCTAGTAAGAAAATTAGCAAATTTCTTAACAAAAACGATATAAATGTTGCTTTCAAAACTAACAATACAATATAATGAAAACAAAGGGATAAAATTAAATCTTCTAGAATCTTTAGAAATAAACAAACTTAAAACTTTAGACTGTTTATTGAACGACCAATTAGATTTAAACAATTCACCACTTTTAAATTTATTTACTGTGTAATACCTATTTAAATTAACATAAAATTAGACCAGCTTTTACCTTTTTTATATTTGTCAATTTCACTTTTATGTCTACATTTTATTTTTCTAAAATCTTTCTGATGAAGCTAAAGTTTAGCGAAACATGTTAAAAGTTTAACAAAAAAAAAAAAAAAAAATTGTGGAAATATATAAGTATTAAAATTTACTTAAAAAATCTTTTATTAGATAATGGATTTCCACCAAGTAAAAGCCGATTCAATCAAAATGCATATAAGTACCTATATTGTTTATTATCTCCAAAAAATATTGATAGGCTACAATTTTATATAATTATGTGCTTCGTACATGATTCTCTTGCCAGGATACTGCTCCCACTGTATTCACATAATTTTTTATAGTGGTCTCTCATTTCAGTGGCATTAGCCCTTGCATTTCTGGCCCCCAACCTTCTCCTAATTCTTTGTAAGGATGGATTCTCAGTTGTTTCATCTCTCCATCTGCCAGAAATAATATCTCCTCCCTCACGATCAACAAAATGGTTGTTGCGGTACCTTTCGGATTTGTGTTCCATAATATAATTGTGGAGACAAACAGTCGCCTTAACTATTTCGTCTACTGTCTCAGGAAAAGCATATATAGTTTGATGGAAGATCCTCCAGCGAGCTGCCAATATACCGAAGGCATTTTCAATACAACGTCTTGCTCGACTTAACCTATAGTTAAATATTCTTTTATCTTCTGGTAAGTAATGCCCACTATAAGGTCGCATTATTTCCCTTTTTAAAGGGAATGCTTCATCTCCAACAAGAAAGCAAGATATTGGTGTCTGTGAATGTGGTAATGGCTTATCATCGGGTAAGTTTAAAGTCATAGTTTGAGAAAAGTTTTGCGTGTAGTGTTGATTATCGGTCCTAGATGGCGTCAAGATTAAGATTCGCTCTTCGGAATTCTTGCATTTGCCTTTAAAGTCATACCAAAGAATATTATAGTTAACACTTATAGAAAACCTATTCCATGTATATTTTTTGACCCCCAAATGGAGCCAGACTTTTCGAGCCGGGCTCCATCGGAATGGTAGGCTCGCCGTAATCAACGTGGTTCCAGTTGATGGCTACTCGGCGTTGCCATATGTCCATATAAATATGTATAATAATAACTTTAAAACGGTGACCGCGCTGATGTGAAAAAACACGATATGCGGGAAAAAAAATGGAAGGTTTTGTCTTGAAAATATCGCTGAAAAATTGCTAGACGATAATAGCAGTTCGAACTCGAGTTTCTCACAGAAATATCAAAGTTTTTCAATTTTTTTCTGGAAAACTGACTAAGTAAAAATTGTGCAATTTTTTCAGGTGAAAGACGAAAGTGAGGAGCTTATTATAGGAAAATTGCAAATTTTTCCAATGGAAAATCATCCCAGGAAAAATTCTGGAAAATTGACTTTTTTAAGCAGAATTCATTTTCTTAAATTACATTTATTTCCTAGAAAACTGGCAAAAGGAAAATTGTGAATTTTTTTCAGAAAAAAGAGGAAAGTGAGGATCTTATTATAGCAAAATTTCAAAATTTTCCTGTGAAAAAACACTCCAGGACAAATTTAAGAAAACTGACTTTTTTAAGCGAAATTCATTCTTTTATATTACAATTATTTTCTGGAAAATTGGCAGAGTGGAAATTGTGATATTTTTGCAGGCGAAAGACGAAAATGAGGAGCTTATTATAGGAAAATTTCAGAATTTTCCAGTGGAAAATCATTTCAGGAAAAATACTGGAAAATTGACTTTTTTAAGTAAAATTCATTTTCTTTCTTTTTAGTTTTTTTCTAGAAAACTGGCAAAAGGAAAATTGTGAAAATTTTCCAGAAAAAAGAGGAAAGCGAGTTCATTAAAGTAAATTTTTAAAATTTTCTAATGAAAAGTCACTCGAGGAAAAATTCTGGAAAATTGACTTATTTAAGCAAAGTTAAGAAAAATTTACCCTTTTACATTTTAATTTTTTTCTTGAAAACTGGCAAACGGAAAATTTTGAAAATTTTCCAGAAAAAAGAGAAAAGTGAAGAGTATATTACAGGGAAATTTCAAAATTTTCCAGTAAAAAGTCATTCCAGGAAAAATTCAAAGAAAATTGACTTATTAAGGCAAAATTGAAGAAAATTCACCCTCTTACATTGTAATTTTTTTCTGGAAAACTGGCAACGGGAAAATTTTGAAATTTTTACAGGAGAAAGAGGAAAGTGAGGAGCTCATAAGAAGAAAATTTCAAAATTTTCCAGTGAAAAATCACTCCAGGAAAAATGTATTTATACATGTATATTTTCGGATAACTGAATAAACTCTATTCTAAGTTAAAATAGTATATTTCCTAACTAGTGCGGAAAGTACCGCTTTTCCGCACGCGATTGCAGTTTATCGACCGACGCGCAGCGAAATTCGGCAAGCAATCAAGTGCGAAAAAGATACTTTCCGCACGAGTTAGGAACACTATTTTTTCTACGAGATGAAAGGTAATATTTTCATCTACATATTTATCAATTTAAGATATTTTTTTTCACTTTTTTGTACCTGTACCTGGTAGTATATCCTGTTAATCTGTAAGTAAAAGGTGGCCCAAA